ATTGGGGTTCTAATTATAGTTACCTTATTTAGAACCCTAGTTACTAACTCCCATGATCCTCCAAGTAACCTATTCCCTACCGTTTAGGGGCGACTTTGTGGGGTTGTACCTAGGTTTCATAGGGTAACTTGCAGGGAAGCTAATGGGCCGAAGCATGACGATATTTAGTCTGGGGGTTTCGGGGGGCCGAGAGTCACACGCAGCTGATTCTTTCTTTTATAACGAAGGCGTTGCAGTGTTTTGCGGTAGAGTCTTAGATGGGTCTGCTAGGGTGTCATAGGTGTTATGGGGCTTTAGAGGTTACGGCATTGGGTTGGGGACAAAAGGTTGATGACCATGTTTACAACACTTCAAAGAATCAGGCCACTGAGTATCTAGAGTTAGAACTACCAGAATTGGTGTTATACGTAGCGCTATCTACAGTTACCTTCCCTAGAAGCCGACTTACTTAACGTTCCTTCGTGCTACCCGTGGGCCTCTCAGGGTCCAGGCCTCGGGATTTCGGTTTTGCGCTGGGATCCAAGAGTTCGGTTGCTTTTTGGGATCTCTGGTTTAAGGATTTTGGGGTTTCGGGGATCTTAGGGGTTCGGGTTTTGGGGTTGGGGTTGAGGAGTTCGGCTACTGTTATCCTAGTCTGAACCAAACCCAAAGCCTCTCCGCAGCCTTGTGAGCCCCAAACCCCGCCACCCTCCAAACCCATTCAACCACTGGATCCCTGTTGCAAGGCCCTACTGCATAGCCAAACCCTAAACCTCAAACCCCAAAGCTACAAACCCGAGAGCTTCGAGCCTCAAGCCCTTCAGCCACAAGCCTCAAAGCCCAAACCGAAAGCCACTAACACCCCAAAGCCCTGGACCCTAGACCCTAAAGCCCCCAAAATCCTCTACCTCCAAATCCTCAAAACACTATTACTACTAGTATTCTTCTTCTTATTATTATCACTATTGGTACTATTGTCGTTGTCATTATTGAAATTATTGTGGTCATCACTATTTCTCCTAGTTTCGGTACTATTAATATTTCAACCCCTCAGGCCCCAAAGTCCCAAGCCGCTGCGTTGGTGACTGGCGCGTCGGCACCCAAGGCCGACGTGCTCCTGTTCAGGATTAATGGGTTTAGGGGTTTAGGGCTTTAGGGCTTTAGGGCTTTAGGGGTTTAGGGTTTAGGGTTTACGGGTTTAGGGTCTAGCGTTTAGGGTTAGGGTATGATAATGAGAACCATGAACAGAGCCATAATCATAAGAGTAATAGTGAAAGTACTAGTTACAGTAAGAGTAAGAGTAATCATAGTTAAAAGCACAATGACAACAAGTGTGAGCATGAGTGTCGGTATCGGTATCCGAATTCGTATTCGTATGAGTATGCGCGAAATTGGGAGTAGTTTCACCAGTGGTATTGGCGTTCGTACTGGATCGGAAGCTCGAGGTCGGGGCGCCCCAGGAGCAGGGGACCTTGATGTTGATTCAAGATGGTAGGATCTTGAATATTATGGGGACCCCACCCCTTCACAGAAAAAGCATCCCTAGTATTGTGAACGCCCCAAGCAAAGACATTGCATACTCAGCCTACAACTCTTTCAAGACCCCTTAGAGAGTCCCCATAGCAAAGGCAAAAGCCTGACAAGCCCTAGATCCAAAGCCTGCACCCTAAACCCTAAACCCTAAACCCTAAACCCATTGACGTGATCCCAATCAGAGCCGGCCAGGCCTCGGGCAGCGGCGTGACCACCACGAGCCCGGCCTCCGCCGGCGCAGCCCGGATGGAGGTTTAAGGGCTACCCTAAGGGGAAATCCTTAACAGGATCCCTTAGAAGGAAGTCCTTAAAGGGAACCTTCAAGGATGCACGGTATATGGCAAGCCTTGAAACATAGAAGGCCTGGACTTCAGTTGAAGTGTCAACAGGGCTCTTGGGTTTTCGGGTGCTGCGGAGTTCTGGCGCGAAAGACTCTGAGGTCACCGCCGCTGCTCCCAAGGCCAAAGCGGTGTCCCCGACCTCGGCGGCTGCCGTCATGGAGGTGCTGTTGTCGGGTTTCGGGTTCATCCATAAGGCTTCGATAAGGGTACTACAAGGGTTCTCGGAGCGCTACTAAAAGGCTATAGCGGTCACTGGCTTTAGGATTGGTGAATTGAGGGGGTCTGGGTTGCAGAAGTGGCTGAGGACCCTCTGTCAGGCTTAGCATGGACATTCTACGCTGGCAGTTCACATCTACATCTTACTCAGCCTTGCTCCTGAACTCTGAGCTCCTGCCATCCTGAAGCCGGTATATTCCTCGAACATGGCCGTCCTAGGACGTCCTAGGCTTATAAGGGATGCTGTATCTTCTAACCCGAAAAAGCAGCTGAAGGCTTTCAGGGAGGTTTTAAGATCCGGTGCTTCCTAAGCCAGGAAGGCAAGAAGCCGGCAACAGCCGCAGACCGAATGAAAGCCACTGGCTCCGTCCTGGCGCGAGGACCGGCAATGCCAGTGTAACGGAGTTGGCTATTTGGATGCTTTGAAGGATTCTTCTATTCAGTTATCAGCTCGTGCGTACATTCCGTGCAGCCAAAAGTCAGACCCGGGACTCGTTTGTTTAAACAGGCTGATTTTGATAGTAGGTACTACTAGCATAATCAGGGCAGCAACGGACCACGATCGTGGTAAAGAACGGCGGGCGAAAGAAAAAGGGCCAGGATAATAACTATTTAGTCAAGATCATGTCTTCAATTTTGACAGGTTTCGTTTTTCATGCCGCTATCGACAGGATGCGTTGGAATTGGACTAGCAGGAGTCGGAGCAAACAGCAATAAGGTTTCTCGCAAGATATATCAGCGTTTGTAGAACTCTCGTACTAGGAATCGCTCCAGTGATAGCCCGAAATCCTCGCTAGTACTGTGCAGATCCTTCCAAGACCCTGAACCCTAAAACCTAAACCCTAATCCCTAAACCTGACAAGACTTGGAATCGCCGTAAAGAGCTTCTCGGTGATTCCAGGACTGGGTGCCACAGCCGAGGCGCCAAAGGCCGGATCTGATTTCTCCTGGGTGTCGCGTTACAAACTTGGAAGTTGGGAGCGGATGGTTCTTGAGTGAGGCTTTGGGAGCAGGGGAGAAGGGCTGCGTGGGGCGTGGGGCGTTCGGATTGTTGGCTTTCTCCGGCCTTCGACCTGCGGGAGGCCAAGGCGAAGCCGGCCGCGGCCGTGCCGACCACCTCCAAGTACGCCGGCTCCGCGACTATGACCCAGGCCGCCCCCACCAGCGCCTCTTGGCTGGCAGCGTGTGGGCATTTGGGCTCCCTGGCAGCTTTGGCACTTTGCGACATGGAGTGTCCTGACTCAGGTGCTGAACATCGTCAGCGGCAAGCCGGTGGCTGCCGGCGAGGTCGCCAGCAGCGCTCATACCACCAGCTCCGTTGGCCCTGCCAGAGGCTACGCCAAGGCCTGGACGGATCTTGGTCTCGTCGGGGCTGGGGTCAGACTTTTTTCTTGAGGCGGCCGGTGCCGTCCTGCCCACCAGTACCACAGGCGCAGCCTTTGCAAAGATAGGATAGCTGTGCTTCTCCTAAGTGTTGCTCGGATCTTTACGAGAGCCAAGAGGTGCCGATGGCAAAGCATTGGATGTGCCCAAGGCCCGGTCCTTGCATCCGAGGCTGCATGTGCCGGTAAGTGTCGTGACGTGTTGATTCTGATTGCTGTCGGACCTCTACCGTGGTGCAGATCGGGCCACCTGCCGTGGCCGTTGGGCGCGCCATGGCTGAGGTCCCGATTGGCTTTTGCAAATCTCACCACGTAGAAAATTTCACTGCCTGTTTTGAAATGGTCCATGCATCAGGGACGTCCCGCAGTGTCTATGGCTGGTGGCAAGTTGGTCACCACCATCAGCAAGAAGTTCCAGCACCTTGGCGAACGTGCTGGCAGATGTGCGTCATCTAGGCGTGCATGTCGCATGTCAGCAGAAAGATTGTCAGGATCGTGTTCGTGACCAGCGAAGTGGCGCCTTTCTCGAAGACTGGAGGCGCTCTTTCTGCAAAGCCCTCAAGCAAAATCGTCGCAGCCTGCGTGCTTTCAGGCCTGGGTGAGGCCATGGACGGCCTGCCCATCGCGCTCGCGGCCTTGGGCCACCGCTGCATGGTCATCTCTCCTCGCTCCTCGGCCTAGAAAGCATGATCCTACGTCTCTTGCTGTGCCGCAAGCGCCGTAAGGCTACGACCAGTACAAGGAGGCCTGGGACACGGGCTACTGGGGCTCCGTGCCCATGGGCGGCAAGAACGAGTCCGTGCACTTCTTCCACACCTACAAGCAGAAGGCCCCCGTTTCTTTCCATCCCAGCTCCAGCAGCATGGCATGGTTCCTGCTTGCAGGTCGACTACGTCTTCGTCGATCACCCCACCTTCCTGGAGCGCGTCAACGGACTGACAGGCTCAGGGGAAGTGGGGAGTTTGCACGTCACGGGCCTGCGGGCCAGAGTGCAGATACAGGTCGCAGTAGGTCAGGCAGAGAGTCATGTGCAGAAACTGCCGGATGAGTGGCGTCGGTGGGGTTGTGCAGGTGCCAAGCTGTACGGCCCGGAGTGGGGTCAGGACAGCTCCGATCAATGGAGTTTAGGGTTTGGGGTTTCGGGCTGAAGGGATTGCTGAACCCGATACCCTAAAAACCCTAACACCCTGAACTCGGAAGCTATACCCTATACACTTTAAGTTCGAAAGCCCTAAACCCGACAACATGGAACCCTAGATCCTGAAACCCTAAACCCTAAAGCCTACACCTTAATCCCTAAACCCGAAACGCCTGAAACCCCACGCCGAAGTTTGGGGCCGGAAGGAGGCCTCGCTAAAACCGACAACCGAAGCTTTGCCTGCACCCCAGTAGCCCTCTAGCGGTTTGGGGTTGAGTGTTTTTTTGGTAGGCCTCTAGCCCCAAAGCCCTAGAGCAAAAGAAGATATATGCAGCCACACGATGGATCTACCGTTTTCGTCTTTGTGAGGCAAAAACCATGAAAGACGTGCGATTTACACGTATGTGCCCGAGACCCGAATACCTAAACCCGAGTCGTACAAGATTGAAAGGACTTTGCAGACAATCAGGCTCGCTTCGCCTACTTCTGCAAGGCCCTGCCGATGCAGTTTCCACGCATTCCGAAAGCCTGCGCCGGCAAATTTCTAAAGCTCACCCAGCAACTCTGCATCCTTGAAGGGTTCAGGTTGATGTTGGCAAACACATTGGCAGATCCATTGCTCTGAGAGACCAGCCTCAGGGTCTTGTCTCTCTTTGGCATTTGCAGTACAAGGTTCTTGAGCAGAACTGGCTGCATTGGATTCAACGACTGATCTTCCCTGAGATCGGTTCAGGATCATTGCTTTGCTTGTGGACAGTAGGAACAGAGTTCCCTGCTCGCTTAACCGAAAAGAGAGCCAAAAGATGTTTGGGAGCTTTAAGCCCTTGTAGTAACCCTTCTAGAGCCCTTTAAAAGGAACCCTGCTGTTTGTCTTAGGGCCCCTATAGGAGAGAGCCCACCCTAAACCCTAAACCCCAAGCCCTAAACCCTAAACCCCAAACCCCAAACTCCAAACCCTAATCCCCAAACCCTAAACCCTAAACCCCAAACCCAAAACCCTAAACCCGACGTGAGAATGCTGTGGAGGCCGCCTTGAAGGCCATTCAGGAGCTTCCCCTTGGCGGCGCCGTGCCCGGGCCCCGGCCGGAGCGCGGGAAGCTTTGCAAGCGAGACCTAGACGGGTTTACAGGGTTTGGGGTTTTAGGGTTTGGGGTTTGGGGTTAGGTTTGGAGTTTGGGGGCCTTTCGAGGGCTGAAAGCTGAGGGTTCGAGGCTGTCGGGTCTAGCTCAGGACTTTATCGTGGAGGGTTTCGGGTTTTGTAGCGGTTTGCGGCTCGAGGTACGGCGGCGACTGCATGGTCGTCTGCAACGACTGGCACTCGGCCCTTGTGCCCATGCTCATCCACGCCGAGAAGCCCACAGGCCCACGGACGGGGGCGCACCCTAAACCCTAAACCCTAAACCCTAAAACCTTAAACTCTAAACCCTAAACCCCAAACCGCAAAACCCGCAAGAGCAACACATGAATTGGGCCTCAACCCAGAACACGGGCCCCTGAACCTAAAGCCTTTACTTGTTTGCAGAAGTCCGTTCCAACAGTGCAGAAGAATTGACGTCTGTAGCCGCAGCACTTCTGCATGCCAGCGAGAATTCGCACCTCCCTAGAGTTCAGAGCAAGAGCCTTTGTTCCATTAACTAACGTTCTAGTTACATTCGCTCCATCATCGCAGCATTCCCCAGCAGGGATCATTTTCAACGGGCAAAGTCCATCCCCACGAACTTTCAAGCATGGAGCTTTGTGTTGCAGCACCAAGACCCTAAATCCTGAAACCGAACCCCAAAAACTTCAGCCTTAAACCCTAAGCCCCAGGCAAGTGGACCAACACGAAGTCCGCCTTCCTCTGCCACAACGCCGTCTTCCAGGGCCGCTTCGTGCGCGAGGAAGGCATGAAACGGCTGGTTTTGTTAGGGTTTTCGGGGTTTTGAAAGGATTAGTGTAAGCGTCATGGGTTTGCAGTTGAGGTTTCAAGGCGTTTGGGGATTTGGAAGTTCAGGGTTAGCGGTTTTCTGGGGTCCTACGCTGTGCTGTTTCAGTGTAGTATGCCATAGTTATAGTATGCTATGATAAGCTACTATAACAATAATGCAATAATGATATGTTATAATACTGCACTATGCTAATGTATTCTAATAATATACTAAGACATGGTTAAATAATAGAGTATGATGTGTTGGGCTCTGCTGATTCGAGGCTTCTGTGTTTCAGGGCTTTTGTCGGCAGGTTTTGGGTTTAGGTTGGGGCTTATGGAAATACAACGGATTCAAGCAGACATGAGATCGGAAACCGAGTCCTAATTGAGCAGCAGAAGTCGAGCCACCCGAGCCTGCTAAAGCCTAAACGCAAAGTCCTAGAAACCTGGAAGTCTACGTCCGAAATGCCGCAAACAGGCCTCGCCAGCGTCTTCGGAGTGCCGGAGCGCTACATCGACAGCATCACCTTCAAGATGCCTTTGCGCATTGGCAAGTACAACGAGAAGGCCAGGGGCGTGAGGGAGGGCTTTTGAACATTTTGGTCTTGGATTCTCGGAGGAGGGCTTGGGGCAAATCGTCCGTCGGATTTGGATGTGTAGCATGAGTGCAGACGCCGCAGTACAAGGGCCTTAATAATTACCTATGCTATTTTGGGGGTTCCTTATTATACTTATAGTTATAATATACCCCCAAAACCCTATTCTAATGATTAAGGCCCCTATAATTAGCATGAGTGCAGACGCCCTATTGTCCTGTTGGCCACAGATGACCTGCATCAACACCATGGCTGCGGGTCTGCGTTACGCCGATCGCGTCCGCATCTCAGTGAAAGGGCCTCGCTAGACCTAAGCCGAAGAGGGGTTTAGGGTTTTGGGGTTTAGGGTTTAGGGCTTTGGGGTTTTAGGTTTTGGCCAAGGGATGCTAAACAAAGGCTATGGGTCCTGTTGTCAAGGGTGACGTGTTCTCTTGGGGTTGCAAGGAAGCGCCATCTAACTCGGCAAGCCACCCATACTTATAATCACAAGCTGCACCCTAAATCCTGTACCCTGTGGTTTATGAACTTCTTGTGAAGGCCCTGACCGTGTCTCCCAGCTATGCCGTGGAGTGCTGCACGGATCCGGAGAAGGTGGATTGCCGGGGAAATTGCAGTTTTTGAGTGCATAGGGCGCTTATACATGTTAAAGAGGATGTTAAAGGGGCAAGAAGTGGCAGGGAGCAAGTCAGGCAGCAAATAAGTCGCCGAGTCTTTTGTCCGAAACCCTAAGCCCAGGGCGTGGAACTGGAAGACCTCTTCAGCCTGGGCAAGTGCACAGGACATTGGGGGAAGATTCGATTGTACTTGGAGGATCATGGGACTTAGTGTACTAGGGTTACAAAAATAAGGTAACTATAATTATAACCCCAATTAGGGTACTCATAACCTTACTTACTAAGTCCCACGATCCTCCAAGTAGTGTTGCAGTGTGGATGTTGCTGCAAGCCGTCTCTTGTCTCGTCCAAGGACTCCTCTCTAAGTTTGATGCGCTCTTTTTAATCCGTGGTTGCCGTGATGCCCAACACCCTCCCTGAAGCCTAAACCCCTTGGAGAAAAAAACCCTAAATCCCTAGCCGAAACCCTAAACCCTCAATCGCTGCGCAGGAATCCTGAACGGCGTGAAAGAGGGCGTGACCCCTAGCGACAAGAACTTCGTCACGAAGACCATGATGAGCTGCGGAATCTTCACCGCCGGCCGCTCAGGAGGTAGACTCCGTTCTAAGTGGCGCTTTCAAGTTTAAGGTTTAGGGTTTAGGTTTTACGGCTTAGGGTTTAGGGTGTAGGGTTTCTCTGTTTAGAGGACTCTTTTTGGGGCCGTGGGGGCCGAAGAAATCCGCAAGAACCAGCAGCTGAAAACGGGGAATTCGTCACTGCCCTTCTGGGCTCCTGAAAAAACCTTGATAAACCTTGTCCAAACCTCTATAAGCTTTGAAAGAACACTATAAAGTCCCTATAAAGCCCACAACCCGCATCAGCACCTATAAAACCCGATAAACCCTAAAACACCCCATGAAACGCACCCCCGAAATGTGAGAACCCGCGAGTTCCGGGCCCAAGGCTGCCACCGCCCCGGAGGCAAAGGCAGAGCTCAAGGCTTCCCGGACTTCTGTCGTGAGGGACGATACCAGGAACCCTCCGAATATAAAGGGTACCTTATTTTGGGGTCCTTATATAAGGATCCTACTATTTAGGGTATTATATTCCTTATTGGGGTTCTTAACCAGGACCCTCCAAGTACCCTCAAATAGGGGTATACGGTCCCAAATTAAGGGTATTTAATTATTTAGGGTCTGATAGAGGGTAGATGGAGGGTCTAGCTAGTCTGGGTTTAGGGATTAGGGCTTGAGGGTGGATCAAGGCTTTCAGGGTTTTGTAGGGCTGAGGGTTTAGGGAGAGGGCTTATCAGAGTTTTACAGGGTATGATAGGGTTTAGGGATTCCTGCAAAAGCTGCTATGGAGCTTTGGGTGTTATCAGGGCTTTGTAAAGTTTTTTTTGCGCGTTTGGTTCAAGCGTCTTGCCCTGAAGCTCCCTGCCCCACACAGAAGCCTCAGCTGGTGAGCTTCGCCAGGCCACTTACCGCGCGCAGAACAACCTGCCGGCGTCCACCGGCCCTCTGATGTGCTTCATCGGGAGGCATCCTGGCTTCCTGCTAAGACTAAGAAGCGTGAAGAACTTAAAGCAAAAGCACCGAACACCGCTCTCAGCCTCAGATCCCAAAGCCCTTATCCCTGAACCTTTACACCAATAACAACCCGTCACCCAAAACCCCAAGACCCCTTGGAGGCTGGATGCCCAGAAGGGCTACGACCTGCTCTTGGAGGCCCTGGTGGAGATCCTCGAGGCCTTGCGACCGTCACGCGAGATTCTAGGAATTCTAGGGCTCTTCGGTGGTCTCGGTTGCTTTTTCAACATGGGGTCTGGGGGGCCACGTGGTAGGGTTAGGAGTAAGGTTTAGCAGCTGCAGCAGTTTAGAGCTTGTCGGTTTGGGTTTGGGGGTCATCCAAAGCCAAAACTTGTAGGCTCATAGAGCCAGAGAAACCCCAATTCCCAAGCCCTCGCACCATGGCTCCTAAAGTGCTAAACTCCAGAACCCTGAATCCTAAAGCCTGTATGGAACCCTTGTGAACCAAGCCCTATAAGGGCTTTACAGATTTGAATTTAGTTTGTTCTGTTGTATGGTAGACGAAAGCGTTGTTCAAACCAAACCGTTAAAAACCCTCACAGTAACCCTTCCCTCCCCGTACAGTAGCCCTTAGAGTAACCCTTAAACATAACCCTTATAGTAACCTAGGGTAGTAACCCTGTGTGGAAACCGCCTAGAAACCCTTATAGTAACCTTTACAGTCGTCCGTACAGCCACCCTTTAACTAAACCCTAAACCCTAAAGCCCTGAACCCCGAAACCCCGAAACCCTGAAACCCTATAAACCCTAAGCCCTAAAGCCCAAAAGCCCCAAACCCCTAAAGGGCCTCCCTTCGCCAGGACACCGAGCTCCAGGTCGTCATCGTCGGTTCGGGTCGTGCCGACCTCGTGGCCCAGCGCCTTGGCCGACAGCCGCCGTTTTTGTTTCTGTTTAGGGTTTAGGTTTAGGGTTTAGGCGGCAAAAGCTGTTTTGGATTTAGAGGTAAGGTTTTTTTAATGGTGAAGGGTTTTAGAGTTTCGGGTTTTGGGGCTGGTGGTGGGGGTTTTGTAGTCTTGGGGTCTTTGGGTTTTGGGGAGTTTAGGTCGTAGGGCTTGCGGGCTTTAGGGCCTTTGGGTTTTGAGGGTTGAGGGCTCTAGGACTCTGGCGTCAACGGAAGGAGGTTTGGGGTTTGCAGAGCCTTTTGCGTAATTAGGGTTTTCTGTTTAGGTTTTCGTTGTGCTGTTCCAGGACCTTGAAGTCCAAAACGGGTGTTGGAGATGCCCGGATTTCTGGGTCTTCTTTCTGTTTGTTTTCTTGTTTGTGTAAGTGTCTCCCTCTCTCTCTCTCTCTTGTGTTGCTTCGGTTTTGCCGGGCTGCTGGGCCTGGGTGTGGAAGCTTTTCCGGCCTTTTGGTTTTGGCCCGGGGAATCTATGAGTCGCCGTTGCTTTCCAGGATCAGCGGGCTCAGGCTTCTGGGGTTTGAGCTGCCAAAAAATGTGGGCTGGGGTTGAGGGTGCCCGGGAAGGTTAGATCCCATCATTTGGGACCCGATGCTACGAAAAGGCACTTCATCGGAAGACCCTTAAGGGATCTGGTGTTGAAGCCCTTGCAGACATAGCGAGGCTTCTCTTCAGATCTGGCAAGTCGCAGAAATCTGACAGGTTAAACGTTTCAGGACGGCCCCAGGCCGTGCACATGGAACATCATAAAGCCCAAAGTCCGAAGACCAAAATCTCACATGCTGACGCCGTAACTGGGGCTCAAGTTTTGGTTGAGGCCTGTCGGGTTTGCGATTCTGCATCCTGCTCTTGGTTTCGGAGTGTCGCTGGATTCAAGATTCAAAGTCATCCGCGCTGAATGCTCTCTCCGGTAACAGCAGGATTTCGTTTGGGAGGGTTTAGTGTTCTAGAGCTTCCAGGTTTTGTCATCCATGTGTAGAGTGGGCATGTTAGGCGAGAATCAAGCCCAAACGAGGCGTCCGAAGAGAGTCTCAAGGGCTTTCCCTAAACCCTAAGCCCAAAGCCCCTAAACTTGACGGACTTGTTGATGTTCCAAGTTCGTAGGCAGCCGTGGCATTTTCAGGACCAAGGCCGTCGAGAAGAAGTTCCCCAGCAAGTTCTTCTACGCAGGCTTTCGGCGGTTGAAGGAGTGCATGTTTGCTTTCGGAGTTGGAAGTTTCCATTTGCTTTAAAGCACTTGGACGGTTCAGGCTGGATGGGCCCGGAGCGCTACGCCTTGCTGGCTGGCTGTGACTACACGCTCCTTCCGTCCAGGCACCGGCTTGCAGGTTTTGGGAGGGTTTGGTGTATTCATGGCCTCGTCGGGTTTTGACACTGCTGTGTCGCCTCTTTTGCTTGCGGTTTCTTTCTCGCATGTATTGGGGCCCTGTGTCGGTTCTCAAGGTCCTGGAGATTTGGCTATACGGTATATACAGCATACCGTAAAGCGGTTTTAGTGTAGGAGCCTGATTGCGAAACCCTGGTCCTGTATCCCAAAATATTGGGAGTCATAAAGCAAACCCCAATAAAGACCCGAAGGTTTTTAATGAGGCTCCTACAATAGGAAAATAGCGGTTGGTGGTCTGGCTGGCGTCCTTGTCCCACCCCTCTTCCTGGGCCAATCATAACTATCCGCATCACCGCAGAAGCTGACGGCAAGAGTCGTCTCTGCCCAACTCCACCTCAGGTGGGAGCCTTGCGGCCTGGTGCAGATGGAGGCCGGTTCTTCAGGGCTCGGGTGAGGAGCACCGATGCTTTCCGGGCTCAGCGGAATGTTACTTGGTCCCCCCGTCGGTAAGCCATGTATCTTAGCTGCGAAAGGCACGTCGCCTCATGAAGACTCCAAGATCGAGCTGCGGCATCTATCCTAGACTCCTAGACATTCCAATGCTCATAATGCACTCAGAATATTGTCAACAAACCCAAAACCGATACGAGAACAGACGATTCGGACAGCAATTCTCTGACTCTGAAGCCAAGAAGCCAAGATTTGCAGGCCATGCGCATGGGAACGCTGCCCATCGTCGCCCCCACCGGCGGACTCAAGGACACCGTGGAGGACCGCTGTGTGGATGTGGAATGTGGCGACTTAGGCCAGCACTTTTGCCAGTATGAGTTTAGCGGTGGCTGTTGGCATAATCTGTGGGGAGCCTGCTCTCTGGGGCTAGGTCTTACGTGCAATTTCTGCTCGCATCCTCCTGGGAGATGCTGATTTGAGCCTCTTATGTAGGGACAGCACGATCCTGCAAGAAATGACATCTCTCTTCTGCTTATTGTTGTCATGCCTCTGCTTCGTACACGATGAGATGCTTTCCCACCGGTCATTGCAATCATCATCACGGATGTCGCTCCTCTTCTTGTTGTGGCTAGGAGGATGATCATTCCCTTCTTGTCTGCAGCATGCACCGCCTTGCCGTGGCGCTGGTATGTAGCATCCTCGCCTCTACTTAGCACTTAGGTCCATCCTTGGCCGCAACAGCTCCCCGGCGCTTGTCGAATCCATGCACATCGACGAAACTATGGGGCCATAAAGCAAAAGTCGGGTAAACAGAGCCCTGTTCAAATCAAATCCTCACCCCGAAGGTCTAGAGCATCCCAAGCCCAAGCTCCAAAAACTCGACGGGCGCCCGGCACCCAGAACTGGAAAAAAGGCCCGAAACCCGGGGTTTAGGGTTTAGGCTTTCCGGGCTCAGGGACCAAATCTCCTATGAGGATGGCCTGAATGGGCTCTGGACCGACAAGGAGATGTCCGTGGAGGCGGTCATCGACGAGGCCCGAGATCAGGGATACAAAGGCTTCAGTCCTTCAACGCTCCACCGACTAGACTAGAATAACCCTGAACTCCAAAATCCGAAGTTCTAGTGACTGGAACTTCGGATTTAGGAGTTCAGGGTTTAGGGTTCAGGGTTATATGGCCCTGAGCACCCACTGTTCCTACAGTTTCCATGCGCAGGAGTCCGTCCAGTCCATCGCAAAGGCCTTGAAGCGGGCCTCGAAGCTCTTCATCGAGGAGCCTGAGAAGGCAGGGCTCTTGTTTGCTGCTACTACTACTACTACGACGACGACTACTACTACTACTACTACTACTACTACTACTATTACTACTACTACTACTACTACTACTACTACTACTACTACCCCACACCGTAAGTCTTAAGCCCCAATCCCCGAAACTCTGAATCCTGGTGGTGAAGACCCTACACCGTAAACCCACAGCCCTAAACCCTGACCCGAAAAGCTTGGAGCAAACGACATAACACATCAAAAGCACGCGGCTCATCACACTTGAACCCCTGAATCCATAACCTCAAGCCCCAACGACATGACGAAACACATCTTTTTGTACCCCCCAACAACAACAAGCCACCCGGAAAGATGAATCCCTCCCCCTTAAACCCGAACACCTAAAGACCGCCAACAGCAACAACATGCGAACCCCCCTTTTTGGATCCCTTGACACAGGGAACCCTACTGTAGAACCCTGTAACATCCTATTATAGAACCCAGTACCCTGAAAGGGGTTTCTAGGGCTCCCTTAAACGATTCCTTGGAAGGAGACCATTAAAGGGCCCCCTTATAAGTCCCTGAAAAGAACCCTTATAAATCCCTTTAAAGGCACCCTTATGGATACCTCAAAGAACCCCCTTTACAGATCCCTTAGAGGAACCCCTTAGAGATCCCTTTGGAGGAATCCCTTATGGATCCCTTAGAGGATCCCTAAACCCTAAACCCTAAACCCCTTATGGATCCCTTAGAGGATCCCTTTTCTTAAAGGTGAAGGCCATGACCCGGGCGGCCATGGCCGCCTCGGCGGAGTTCACCTGGAGCAACGCGGCCCTGCAGTACGAGGCCTCGTTGCTTGGGGGCTTCTTCAGGCCTTGAATCATTGAAGGGAGTCCTAAAGATCCCTTAGTTGGATCCATTAATTGGATCCTATAGATCCCTCTCAGGCCTTCTAAGGTTTTTGTTAATATCAGGGTTCTCTGAGGGCCCCTTTTATTGATTCGATAAGGGCCTGGATGCCGTCATACACGTGGAACAACGCTCAGAGAAAAAGAGCTGAAGAGAAAGAGCTAGATCCATGAGCAAAGTTCGCCAGTCTGCCTTCTGACTCCGCCTTCTGACAAAAGCTACGATCCGACCCTAAACCCCAAACCCCAAATCCTAAACCCGATCCGACGGTTCTGCAGGCCGTCTTCGAGGAGCTTGGAGTCAAGGACCGGGCTTTTCCTGTTCTTGTCTTGAGTTTGTCCTTTTTCTGAAATTCTAACATGGGGGCCGTGATAATTAGAATGCGGCTTTTTGGGTAGATTGTTATTTTACCATGGCTATATAATAAGGAGCTTCAAATAGTTTTGGTAATTATTTAGGCCCTCGTATTACTGAACCGACTCAAAATCGGATTTGTTGTTGTTGATGATCGTGAAAGAGATTTTTGCTGCTAGGAGATTAGTCGTTATGCCCTAGGGGCTTCATGGCAACATGAAGTGCTAACCATTCAAGATGGATGCGAGTTGTCCTATCGCTTCCACGCTGTATCGACGATTTGGATTGCACCTTGCTCTTTAACCCCACACCCCGAGAACCCTAAAACCCTAAGTCCTCGGACCCCAAACCCCTAAACCCTAAACCCTAAACTCTAAACTCTAAGCTCTAAAACCTAAACCCTAAACACCCCGCCCTGAACCTCCAAGCCTGGCTTCCGGGCCCCGAGCAGCCAGAAGGGCTTAGGTTGTCAGGGATGTTTGGGTCTTAAACCTAGGGGCCAAAATATTTACCTATCTTATTTTGGGGGTTCCTTATTATAATTATAGTAAGCCTAAGCTGGGGCCCAAAACCCTATTCTGACTATAAGGCTCCTATATTAGGGTTTAGGCTTCGGCTTTGAGGGCTTGGGCAGTACATCCTCGATCCGATACCCCACAGTCGGACCCACTCGGCTTGGACCTTTAACTTTATGATTTTCGAGATAGACAGAATATTAAGTAATACCATATCATAATAATATGACATTTTATAAGATTGTACGTTAAGTAATGCAATATCATAATATTATAATAGTATAACAGAGAATATTGTATATATGTTGTTCCAATAAGATAATGTACCTTCCGGCGCTGAAGGACATGCTGAAGGGCCGCACTGCCACTGTCACGCTGGAGACGGACAAGCAGGTGATGGGGTTAGCCGGTTTTAGGGTTAAGGGTGTCGAGTTCATTCAAGCTTCGGGGGTTTGAGGGTTAGGCTAGAATGGACCAGAACTCCTGAAGGCAGTAAGCACTCACGATTTGCGACATGCTGAAGCTTATGTACATCGATTCCTGACGGCATGCAGCCTGGGTCCTAGACCCCGATCCTTAAACCCCTGACCTGAAACCAAAAAAACCCAATCCTTCAGCCTCTTTCCAAACCCCAAACCCTAAACGTATTTTGTTTTTTTTGGGTAGTGCCTGCGATCCTGGGTTGGCTTTACGTTTTTTCGAGGCTCTCCCCAGTGCTCCAAGACTTCAAACTGTTTCGGTTTCAGGCACCCGGATGGGCGGCATAGTCTACGTAGTATCGTAGATTCTAGTACGGTATATTATAGTCTAGTATATTGTGGTATAGTAGGTTGTAGACTTGTGTTGTATATAGCAAAATGTAATAGTAGGAGTGTGTCATGGTATGGTGACTTGTCTGTTTTTGGGGCCTAGGTGTGAGGAGTTTTGGACCCCCGTCGCCGCCTCGCAGGTGTGCTAAGCCACGACGACCTGCAGGTGCCCCAGGGAACACACCTTCGGTGCGGTTTAATGCAGGGGCCCTAATAATTAGAAGAGGGTTTTGGGGGCTCCTTATTAGAATTATAGTATAATATCACCAAAACCCCGTTGTAATTATTAAGGCCCCTATAGTAGAGTTTAGGATGGAGGCATCAGCTAGTCTGTTGCACCCGCGCTGCTATAGGAGCAAGACGAGAAAGGCATAGGAGCGTGCAGTATAGAAGCCTGAATAAGCATTCCGACCCCTACATCAGCTGCTGTGGTGGTCCTCATGTTCTTACTCCCAGGTTGCTAGCCATGTCGGTTCACCGAAAGGGTCCACCTCCCGGCGCAAGGTAAAGCCCTAAACCTGCTCCTAGCACTAAGCTTCCAGACTCCACGAGTCCTTGACGGGTTAAAAAAGAGTCTCGATCCCTAAACCCTAAATCCTAAACCCTAAACCCTAAGCCCTAAATCCTAAACCCTAAACCCTAAACCCCAAATCCTAAACCCTAAACCCTAAACGCTAAACCCTAAGCCCTCAGCCCGAATGATCGGGGGGAAAAGCCGGGGGCTCCAGGCTTGCTTCTTGCCTCAGGGCTGTTTGAGCGGGGTACCGCGGGAAGGTGGTGGTAATGTAGGGGCCTAGATAATTACCTATACTATTTTTGGGGGGTTCCTTCTTATATTTATAGTATACTATAACCCGAAACCCTATTCTAATTATTAAGGCCCCTCTATTCTACGGGTGCACAGGATGGGCTTTGAGGATGATGGGAGTCTTCTCTTCGGGGCTTTCTTCGGCCTCGAGCGGTTTTGCTTGGCGCTGAGTCGCCGAGGTCGTGGAGGTCTCAACGCCACCTGAGCTGAATCTTTTAAAATTGTGTTTTCCAAGGTTTTCCTTCGGGTGCGAGCTGACCAAGTGTGCAAATTTGATCTGGAGCCTTTCGACTCGCATGGATAAGCTCGCAGCCCAAACTTAAATGGGGGGGCCTGAACAAAGTCGGTTACCCTCGGTTTCGCCAATTTTCTTTCCGTTCATGGGAACGTTGTAGCTCGCTCGCATATTCCTCATGCGTCGCTGCGGCAGCTGCTATGCTGGCAGGGTGTGAACCTCTGCTATCGTGGCCAGTTGCACTACTGGCCTCTTTCCCAGGCCGCAAAATCCTGAACACTCCAAGCCACAGGAGGTTTGCAGTTTGGAGTCCAAGAATCAAGCCCTTGGTTTCTCTTGCACCAACTGGGAGGAGTGCCCGTGCCTTGTGCACCCGAGAGTAGTGGACCACGAAAAGCATCTCGGGGAAACCTCGGCTGCTTTCGTGCCACGACAACAACAGAAGTCACGATCGGAAAAAGGACTAGCATGCTCATGACCATGTGGGTTTAGGGTTTAGGGTTCAGGGTTTAGGGTTTAGGGATGGTGATGATGGTGGTGATGATGGTTATATTTTGGCGACAGCAACGGCAATGGAAGGCCAAATTTGTTCATGTCTTTGAAAGCTCCTCTGACTCGAGGTGCATCAGGCTAGGCTAGTTCTAAGCACCAGGACAAAGCTCAGCGGCAGGTTGGGACCGTTCCTGCTTAGATTTAGATCTTCAGGTGGATCGGAGATGCTGCAACCTCCCTGAGCCCCAAATCACGGACACGTTTGAGCGGGTGTCAGAATTTCGGCCTTTAAGCCAGGGTTTCTATACGGCGGCGCAAACCGCAGCCATTTTCCAAGCTCCCGAGCTCGCACACGTTTTCCCTTCCGCAAACCTCTGCAAAGCCGAGCCGCTTCCTGAGCTCCAGAGTTGATCTCCTTTCTTGGGGGGCATCTACGGGTTGTAGAGGGGTTTCTGAGGTGTACCAGAGACCCCACGACCTCTCAATTAAACAGTACACGTAAGTCACAAAGTACTTCATGAAGCCAAAACCCTAAACCCAAAAGGCCCCAAACGCCCTAAACCCTAAACCCCAAAGTGGCCCTGGGCTGCACATGTGTGGGTCGGTAGGCGCTAGAGTTTTGGGGTTTAGGGTTTAGGGTTGTAGGCTTCGGGTTTTCGTTGGTCCCGGCATCAGTCAGAAGCCAGGCACATGAAACTTGTCAATCCCGCAAGCCGATGCTTTGACGCCGTCATCACTTCTAAGCCTCAACAACTCGGCGTTGGGCTTAAGAGGTCTAGGCTGAGGGCGACATAAACACTACCACGTAGGGATGAGTGCTTTGGGCTTTGAGGGCCCTGACAAACCAAGAGGTCCCTCTCTTGAGACACTGAAAGCTGCCCCCAGCGTTTGTTTGGGGGTGAAGGCTTGGCTGAAAGCTCCGCATGGTAATATAAGGGGCTTTATGATTAGAATTAGTAAGGAACCCCCCCAAAAAAATAATAGCATTGCTTTTTAGGCCATAGTTTTATTCAGAAGCCCCATAATCGTATTGGTAATTTATCTAGGCCCCCAGTTTTAAGCTCTCTTTCTGACATCGCCCTTCAAGCTCCCACACCCCGAGCCTCAGACCCGAACGCACCGGATTTTGGCGGTGCTTCAGCTCTTAGCAGGGTTTAGGGCCGTTCAGGGTTTTAGGGTTCCCTTTTCTAGACCCTGCCTTGAAAACCCGCCGCGTTGAGTAAAACCGGCAAGCCCGCAACGTGGCGAAGACTGTTTATCAGCCCGAAGAGACCCTGAACTCACAGCTTCCGGTGTCATGGCTCCGGCCCAGTGCAGTGGTGAGGAAACTCCAAAACCGTACACTGTAAACCCTACACCCTTCTACCGTGTCGCCGATCCCTGAACGAAAGCCCCTAAACCCTGTGCCGAACCCGGAAAACCCTCAACCCCTTAGAGTGGGTCATAGAACCGCCCTAGGACTCTAGCAACCTTATTGGCATCCTGAAAGAAACCTGTCGGAAACCTTCACGAGACCGTCCTCTCAAGCTTGGTAAAACCTTCAACCCTAAACCTTAAACCTTACAAACCCTAAACCCTAAAAGCCTGAACCCCTAAACCCTACCTTTGTCCGAGGATGTCCGCGCCGAAGGCCACTCCCCCAGCCCAGGCCCCTACCGTCGTTCCCGTCGCCAAGGCCCGGGTTCCTCCTGTAGCGGTTTAGGGTTTAGGGTTTAGGGTTGGTTTGAGGGGAAAAGGGTTACATAAGGGTTCAGGGTTTAGGGGGTTTAGATGCTGGTGATGATGATTCTGATGCTGGTTGTCTCAGTTGTACTTCTTTTCTGTCGTATGTTCGTGCTGTCGCCGTGACACGTGGCGGCAGCAAGGCTGGGGATCCCTCCGTTCGGGACTGGGGCTTGGAGCCCAAGAGGGCTTGGGAAAACTCTTCGGTTCCAGGTCGAGGGGAGTAGGGTATTATGAGTTTTCAGAGGCAAGTAGATTCAGAACCCTCTAAGAACCAAACCCTAAACCATATATATATATATATATATAAATAGCCCTGAGCCCCCAACCCTAAACCCATGAACCCTAAACCCAAGTCCCTTGACCTGCGCCTTTCAAGCGTGTACCGCAGGCTGCTGATGTTGCCCAGACCGCCAAGGCCCGCGAGGAGGCTCCCAACCGTGAGGAGCACGGGCGTGGAGAGCAATCTCAGAGCTTCGAAGCCTAAACCCTAGACCCTAAACTCCTGAACCCCTAAACCGTAAATACCTAAACCGCAAGCCTCAAGCCCGAAAAGATGCTGCACAACGCAAGACGCCACGCGCGAACACACCGACACGGCCCGACACCCTGCGACTCTGTAAGAACTATCCCCCCGAACTGTAAAACTCTAAAGCCCTGAACCCTCAAAGCGCCCAAAAAGCCCTAAAGCGCTAAACCCTCAAAACGCCCCAAAAAGCCGCTAAACCCTCTTCAGAACGCCCCAAAAAGCCCTAACGCCCGAAAAGCCCTCTCAGCGCAAGCTTCCCAGGAGAAAGTGAAGGCCGCTGGCGCAGCACCTACGGCAGCCACGGCGGCCTCCGGACCCCCCCAGGCCATGGTTGCTTCAAGGGCAAAGCGGGAGAGTGGATCCCTTAAAGCTCAGGGGTTGATTGAGGGGTTTCGGTTTTGGGTCTGGGGTTTTAGGGTTTTAGGGTT